GCGCGGCGATGCTGGGCGTGTGGAGTAGCAGGTGGCAGCATCAGAGATGCTTCAAAGCAAGGCAGCATGGCAAGACTAACAAGATGACTCTCAAGCAAAATTAAGAAAGATGAAGCAGAATGAGTGACAGGAATCTGATGACAGGAATGTTGATGCGACTGCTTTGATCGGTGGTCATGGCACTACAGGGCAAGCCTGACGATGGCGAGCGCATTTATTATGATGGGTGGATGAGGGCAAGCGGCCCCATGGCAGCTGCGTCGTTCAGGGTTGAAGAAATACCTGGACTGTGAAATATGGTGCACGTGCGCTATGGCGCCCTCCCAGGATAACTGACCTATGCCGCTGTTTCACTGGCCCCTCTCATAAATGTCGATTGCGGAGTAAGGCCAGGAGCCGCAGTTTTTGCTGAGAAGCACGCATCGCAGCCGCACACACGCCTGTCAGGCCCGGTGGGCAGATCGGCTGCGGCGGGTTGGGGCGCTGCTCGACCCACCCCGCCGCGCGCAGCAAGCCGTCGTCGCTGGTGCCCTGCGGCCGCTGCTGGTGCTGCTGCCACCACACCGCAGTGGCGCGCCTCAGGGGGTTTGCGCCCGCTGACGGCAGCGACAGCGGCAGGCGAGGACCGTGCAGCTGCGGCGCCCAGGCGGAGGCCGAGAAGGGCGCGGTGGCCGCGGAGAAGGAGAGGGCGTCGCCTAGCGCAGACGCTTTGATGGGCACCTGCGTGCGGATGGACATCGTGGGTCTAAGGGCAACGACGAACACCGACTTTACAGCAGTGCACAAAAGAAACAGTAGACTGCCGCTGGCGCATCCGCCAAAGGCAAGGCGAGTGTTTTTGCTGCGCTTGCCACCAGGCCAGCGCAGGGTCGCTCCGCCGCACCGTGTCTTTGGTGCATGTTGCAACCTCGCTGCGTTGAGAGCACGCCAGCTGCGCTACAATGATAGACTTTGACAGCAGGCCGGTACCCAGCATAACGCTCTCAATTGGGCTGTTTGTGCTTGCCAGCACGCAGGGCTTGCTTAGGTTGAGGGGATTTGGCAGCACCTCGTCCTGCAGCAACGTCGGCAGCGTGTGCATGAAGCAAAGGGGATGCACGTTGTTGACCTGCCTGTCATCAATGATAAGAGGCGATGAATGCACTCCTGGATGCGGCACCACTTTGCTATTCAAGCTGTCAACTAGAAAGTCACCCAAGGGTGCATGCACGGCTTCTCCCATGCAGATCCAACGTGCCTGATACTCTGCCAGGTAGTGGCAGCCTTCTGGTGACGTCACACACCCTGCTTCAGTGACATAGTTGCATGCACTGGGGCAAGGGCAACCAACAACACGTGTGTCCTGATCAGGGCGGGTGTTGGCAGCAGCGGCAGCTGACCACGCCGCACAGCACAACAAAGCACCATGAGACGCGCAAGAGGCCCCCTTGCCTGCCGCATGTCAGAGGCTGGGCCCACTCGCCTGGCATACCGTTTGTAGACCTCTACGCCAGCGCAGGTTCCCCATACATCTGGGGCGCCTGATTGGACCTGCGCTCGAGCACAGGCAAAAGAGGAGGGTATCTCAGCGCCATTGCGGTGGCTGTAATCACCTGTGAGTTTGGCGGTGCCGCAGTCTCAGCCTACAATCCTGAAACGTCACCTTTTGTTTAAAGTCCACCAGCTTCGGTGGCTCGCTGATGGCTGATGCGAGGCCGTTGGGATAGCATGCCTGTAAGGAAGGGGTTTATAGAATTAGCTGTGAGCCGCGCCTGCGTGCTCAGGCCTGTGCAAGTGCATGTGACACCGTATTGCTAGCATGCGCGCGAAAGGAGGGACTTGGTGAGAAGCGAAAGCATCTGCTGCGCAGCGGCCGCAACGTGCAACAGGCAGCAGCACCTCCTGCGCACCTGCTGGAGCCACATGCAGCCTGGCGCGTTGTTGCAATCGCTGAACAGAGCAACGCGAATGCGGTGGTGGCAATCAGGGTTGGTGTTTGCATTGAGCTTTGTGCGGGGATGTTTCGAAGCTCAAAACCAGAGAGATCATCTCTCTGCATGATACACCCAGGGGATGCATACCTGAAGGCTGTGCTCTTGTGAACCCGACCCACGACTCGCCTGCGGTACAGCTCAAAGCTGCATCGAACAACATCAGCCAGCAGGGAACCGCTGCAGGCCACCGAGACAGAGCTCCAGAGCAACAGGCCCACAAAGCTGCATAAGAAGCAAAGGGATGACCAGGAATGCTTGCTGCAATTACAAGTCAGGGACGAAATCTTGTCCTGGCCACCCTGTCGTGCAGCCACAAACCAAGTCCATCAGTGACTGCTGTGCCCTGCGGCTATCAAAACGCACCCAGTCACTCACTCTGCGTCGTCGTAAAAGAGTGAGCAGCCGCCAGGCCCCCAGGTGCACCACCCACGCACGTCAGCAGAGCACTCTGACTCGCTCGCGTGCGCCAAGCACGCGTAACGCATGGCAGTGACCTGGAGCAGCACCCTGCGCAATTTCGAGACAATGGATACAATGATGAGTTTTGCGTGCCACGCAGTTGTAGCAACGCCTTGCATGCAGGCAGTTGACCGCAATGCCATCAGGTTTGACCACCTGCAGAGTGCAGGCAGCCTGGGCAGCAGCGCACCGCTCGTACGAGTCCGGCTTTGCATCGACCGTAAACATGAAGCTAGGGTTGAGGGCACATCCCGTGCTGTCGCTCCACAGACACTGCTTGATTGTGCCACCTGAGGCCTGCGATTGCTGCGTCACACCAGCCGCGGGAGCAAGCAGGCGCCGCGGCGCCATCACGGGGACAATCGCGACGTCGGCAACGCCCCCCGTCGTATATGCCACAGCATGACCTATTACAAAGATGACTCCGACCCGCACGGCCCAAGGGCCCCTCATGGATTTTTTGAGCGCAGATCCTGGTGTAAACGTTTTGCCCCGCTGGCCTAGCCTTCAAAGGACTCCAACAATCAAATGGATATTTACAAGGGGGACTCGTTACTTGAGAGAGCAAGAGTGCCGAACAGAAGCGAATGCGAAGCTGGGGCCGATGTAGGACAGGTTCAGCTTAGGTCGCTGTCGCGATACGCATGGTTGATGTGTTAAAACATTCCCAACAAATATTGAATGCGCATCCTGACGCTCAGATCGCTCATCTACACCTTCATCGCCTGCTGGACACCTAAAGCGCGGCATGGTTCTGGCAGAGGATTGTTTGCAATAAGACAGTTCTTTGAGGCGCGGTCTATGCTGAGTAACTGAGCTCGTCGGCAGAACTGTTGCTCCGCAGAGGCTCGGCAGCAGCGTGTGCACTGGGTGCACGCCGCCCCAGGACCTCGTCGCGCCTGAGAGCGCGCGCATCGCATCAACTTGTGGTGACACAACGCTGGAGGCATTGCGTGGTTGCAACGTCCTGCAGGGGCATCAGTAAGCCGAGTGCCCTGGACAACGGTGTGAAGCTCAGCACCCTTGCCGTCCTCGTGACAGCTGCCACCGTGCCGTGAGCTGCAACAATGGGGGTGAGCAAGCTGCAGAATGCTATGCTCAGATAAGCTGATGAGGCGTACGCCCACACACCTTACTGTCGCAGCTGCAATGTGTCGCCCTCGCCCGTGTCATCAGCAGCAGATGTGCAGCCGCACCTGTTCCGTCCCCCCCACCCCACGTCCCTGCCATCCCCGCCATCACGCTGACCTGCCATGTTTCACATCCACTCCCGCGCTCGCCAGAAAAATGATTTCCTGTCGCCAAAGGATGTGAGTTTTTTGGCAATGGACCGGGGGTCTTGTGCGATTGGTCCGAGGTGGTTCCGCTCATACGATGCTGCATGCTGCTGCTGCCACCCCCAGACCTCCCCCCAATCGTCATCCCTCCTCCTCATCGCCCCACCCTAGCACACTCACACCCCTTCCATCCCCTCCCACTGGGGCAGATTGCCAACCGCATCAAGGCCAAGGGCCTCCAAAAGCTGCGGTGGTACTGCCAGCTGTGCCAGAAGCAGTGCCGCGACGAGAACGGCTTCAAGTGCCACCAGATGAGCGAGGGCCACCGCAGGCAGATGGAGGTCTTCGGGCAGAGCGCGGAGCGCGTCGTGGGCGGCTACACAGAGGAGTTTGAGAAGTCCTTCCTGGACCACATGCGGCGCGCGTGGGTGACGGGGAGACGCAGCGCGTGCACCTGTTTGGTCGCAACTAAAGCTGATCCACCCCGCATGCTCTGCGCAGTTTGTATCAGCAATTTGTATCAGGAGATCACGTATGCTCTTAGGAGATCCCTGACCCAGTCCCAGCTTTAGCAGTGGCTTTGACGGCAGCAACCACGCTCAACGCCCCTCAAATTCCCTCACATCCCCCCTGCCATCCTTGGCCTTGTGTGCGCACCCTTACCGCTCCCCAGGCACCCCCACTCGCGGATCGCAGCCCATGTGGTGTACAACGAATACATCCAGGACAAGCACCACATCCATATGAACGCAACAAAGTGGGCGGAGGGCAGATGCGGCGGGATGGGGCACACTGGGCTGCGGCTGACCGTGCCAAACGACTGCCTCGTGCGCTGCAACAGGCATCAGGGAGGGCGTTGATGCAGAAGGGCCGCTCGAAGCCCTCAAGGGCCCGCTCTTTGGTAATTCTATGCCACCTGCGCCAGCCCGTCCACTTGAGTCCTTGCGACTTCTCTTTCTCCCGCTCCCCGGGTGCCGCCCCTGCTGTTGCCTCCCGCAGGTGGCTTACCCTAACAGACTTTGTGAAGCACCTGGGGCGCGAGGGGTTCTGCAGGGTGGAGGAGACGCCCAAGGGCTGGTTTATCTCGCTCATACAGGTGCGCGCAGCCCACAAGTGCATAGCAGACAGGTGGACCAGCTCCAGCCAGGAAGCCCGGCTATCGCGTCAAGGGCGGCGGCGCAGGCCGGCGGTCGCGGAAACACCGCTGCTGAGCGGTGCCGGTCATACGCGAGTGGCTTCAATGGTAAGCGCCCCTCGATCGCCTGCACCCCACACCGCAGGAGGACCCAGCCGACAAGCTGGCTGGGGAGAAGCGCGCCAAGCTTGCGCGGCGAGAGGAGGAGGACGAGGAGCGGCAGGCGCGGCTGCTGGCTGAGCAGGTGGGGCGCGCGGCTGACGTGCACATATGCGGTTCCGGTTTTGGGGGCGCCCATAGGCGTGTTGAACGGGCTGCGGGGGTGCCTGCACAGGGTTACAGTACCATGATGGCGGGCGACCTGGGGGGCAGCTGAGGACTGCGCTGCATGCAGGCGCCCTGACTGAACGCACCCGCCGCCTCGGCGCGTGCGCCTTGCAGGTGGAGCGCGCGCGGCGGGCGGCAGGGGACGACGACGCGCCGGCGGAGGGCACGGAGCTGCAGCGGGACGAGAACGGGGAACCCTTGAAGCTTGCGCTGGCGCCCGCGCCGCAGGCCGCAGCCGCCGCGACGGGCGGCGGCGCGGCGGGGGCGCGGCCGGCGCGGCCGGCCGTGCCGCTGTTCGGCGGCGACGAGGACGGTGCGCGCTTGACAGCAGCGCGCCGGGCCAGCTGCATGGATCAAGCATGCACCTATCTCGCGATGTCAACGGCGATCACAGGTTGAAGGTGCTATCTATGCGACGGTTTTGCCACCTCTCACCTACCATTGCATTCGCCATCGGTCCCTCAGATGCGCAGCAGGCGGCTGCGGCGGCGGCGGCCGGCAAGAAGCGCTCAAAGTTGGAGGAGCTGATGCATCGGGACCTGGAGGCCAAAAAGCGGCGGCTCGACGGCGGCGCCGCCAACGGCGCGGCGGCGATTGCAGCGGCAGCGGCGGCGGGGGGCGGGCCGGAGCCCGCGAGCAGCAGCGGGCGGGGGCGCGTGGACCACTGGCTGGCTGAGGGCTTGGTGGTCAAGGTGATGAGCAAGGCGCTGAAGGAGCACGGCTACTACAAGCAGAAGGTGCGACCGGCGCGTCTTGCCTGCGGCGGCCGCTGCGGCTTGGGGTATATTCGGCGGTGCCTTGGCGGTTTGGCAGGGAGGGCGCGCTGCGATTGCGTGTGAGCGCTTCGCCGTGGCTGGCGACGCCCTGGTGCTCCCCAAAACCTGCTGCCCTGCCTTCTGCCCTCCCACGGCGCGCGGCACCCCCTGCGGCGGCGCAGGGCGTGGTGGAGAAGGTTGTCGACCGCTATATAGGGGAGATCTCCATGATCGGCAGCGGCGACGTGGTGCGCGTCGACCAGGCGGAGCTGGAGACCGTCATACCCTCCGCGGGCGGCCGCGTGCGCGTCGTCAACGGCGCCTACCGCGGCAGCAGGGGGGAGCTGCTCGAGATCGACACCGGCAAATTCGCGGCGCTTGTGCGGCTGTCCAAGGCGCCGCACGAGGGGCGGGAGGTGTGGTTTGAGTACGAGGACATCTGCAAGATGGAGTGATCTGCTTCGTCCTGGTGTGAGTGTCTCGTGGAGCTGTTGAGCTGTTGAGCTGTCGAGCTGTCGAGTAGAACGGCACCGCGACGGTTGCAAGGGCGTCCGGTCCATATCCATGATTTGTGCTGTGCTGCCAAGGAGAGTTATGAGAGGACAACGGCGCGAGCAGTGCTTGCTACGAGTTGACTGATTGCTGGGGGTGCAGAGTCAAACTGCAGGCCAGGTTTCATTAGTTCTGCCAGTAAAAACGCACCCAGCTGTTACCTGAAATTCCAGAGGCTCCAGCTCCAAAGACAGAGCACTGGCAAAGCTGAGCGGGGAGGTGCTGGAATGTAGTCACGATCACCACTGTGGTCTGGTGGCGTGGTCACCGGGGCTGATCGGCTTGGCTAAACGGCAAGGCTTGAGTACAGGTGGGCGCCGTTTGGGATCAGGACAGCTCGCTCCAATGCTACTGCACGGACGGCGGACACCAGCTCACCTCGCCTGCGCGGCTTGGCGCCCACCTACCGTCCGCTAGCGCCCAGGGTGGTCCATCACATGTGTGCAGCAGGCTTGCGCTCGGGACTACATGGTCCAGCACTAACCTCATAATCAACCCGCAAAGCACTCGGCCCCACAACAGAGAGGTGTCTGATACATTTGACAGGTCCCTGGAGCTCGCCAAAAGGTTTGCGTTTTGAGTACGAGGGCAGCTAGCTCAGCAGCAGCTGCTGCCTCAGCGGTGGGGGCAGCCTCTCAACACCGCTCCAATCTGGACTGCACGGTTGACGTTCTTTTGATTGCTGGCGAGGTGGCAGTATCCTTCTCGGGGAAGGCACAACTGGCAACAGGCCAGGATCAAACAGTGCAGCTACCGTGCAGTGTGATCTGAGCCCGTGATCGTTTTTAGGGAGTCGGTCCAGCCACCACGAACTGATCAGGGCGTGGCAAAGTCGTGAACATCGAGACGCGCGGGAGGCCAGCCAGATCTTCTACCTGTGTGAACCGGAAAGGCTGGGCGGAGTGTGCGGAGGCAGGGATCCATTAACGCGCAGCCAGGATGGCGCGGTTCAACGCGAGTGGGTGGGCGTCAAGGACGCTGCTGCTGATCATGATCGCCGTGATGGCCTTCAGCATCAGGTGGGCCGCCGTGCAGTTCGATTCCACTGCAACAGCACGCTCAGTTGATCAGCGTCGACTTCGCGCACACTTCACTAGCATCAGTCCATCCTTGGGTCTGCACTTTATTCCGGACAGCAGCCTTGCCACGAGCAGAGCGCCATTCGCGCCGGCGTCCCTCACTTGGCACTGGCCTCGGCCTTGCGAAGCACCCTCCAGCGTGACTTGAGCGCCCAAACCTTACAAAACGACACAACATAGGCTGTTCTCCGTTGTCAAGTACGAGAGCGTCATCCACGAGTTTGGTGAGCGGGCGCGGTGGTAGACCGCTCCACAGACGGTCGCACATGGGGTAATCGCGACGCCCCGGCTGCGCCTCGCCGCCACACCCCCGTCCGCCAAAACCTGCGGGCCGCTCGCGCCTCCGCACCCCTGCCCTCTGCGCCGCCTGACCTACGCTCAACAGCACAAGGGGTGGCACAGGGGGGGAGAGCGCGCGGCCTCAGCCACGCCGCTGCGCGGATGCGGCAAACCTCCGATTTGCGCGGCCGTGGGCCTCCCTCAAGACTCTTCCTCATGCATGATCACACACACACACACACACACACACACACACACACACACACACACACACACACACACACACGCACCTGATTCTCCTCCCACCCTTCCCCCAGACCCGTACTTTAACTATCGGGTGACCCAGTTCCTGACTAAGGAGGGCGTCTACAGCATGTGGGACTGGTGAGACATCCATATCGCGCGCGCCGCCCAGCCCCGCCAGCGCTTCCTAACCCATCCCCAACCCTTGAGGCCCGGCATATGTGCGGTCAGGGCTGGGCTCCGCTCGCTGCTGCGGCTGCCGCAGCCAGGGGATTCGCATGGGGACACAAGCACAAAGAAAGGCTCTCGCCTTTGGGTCGTTGGTGTGCTCAGAATCGCTGAGGCCTATGCAGATACCAAATTCATGAGGGTGGCGGAGCCACGCACGGCACCGCAACGGCGCGCCGGCCGCGCCCCTGCCTGCTGTGTGGGATGCGCGCCGCGGCTTTGACGTGCGTCTGCGCGCGCCCCTGCCCCCCGCGGCCGCCCTGCCCAAACGCCCCAGGTTTGACGACCGGACGTGGTACCCCCTCGGCCGCGTCATCGGCGGGACCGTCTACCCGGTGCGTGCCAGCACCGGGCCGCCCGCCACCCACGGTCGCGCCGCTGCAGCCGCCCGCGCGCCACCGTCGGCCGTTTGCGTCCGCGCGGCGCCGCGCTTGTTGCGACGCGCCCCTGTGGCCCCTGGCTTCCTCTGACGCCTCATGGGCCCCCATCCGCCGCCCATCCCGCGTCACGCGTCACCCGCAGGGCCTGATCGTGACGGCAGGCGCCATGTACCGCTTCCTCCATGCCTTGAACATCCCGATCCACGTCCAGGAGGTGTGGAGGAAGGGTCAGCTGCCTGGTTGGCAGTTCGAGCTCGGCCGACCCCGCCTTGAGGCTCTGTTGGGGCCCTTGCGGGTGGCGCCCCGCAGGGAACGGGCAGTTGGGGCATCATCGACCATTCGCCATGGCGCCTTGTTTGAAACATCTTGAAGCCGGGCAAGCGCGACGCGCATCGCCGCTGCACCCTCGTCCGCTGCTTCCTCGCGCACCCGGCCTCCCCTCAAAGCGTTGCCCCCCGCCCACGCGCGCCGCCGCCGTGTGCCTGGCCCCAGGTGTGCGTGTTCACGGCGCCACTGTTCAGCGCGTTCTGCGCCCTCGCCGCCTACGGCCTCGTGAAGGAGTGCCGCTCCGAGGGCGCGGGCCTGGTGGCGGCCACGCTGGTGGCCATGGTGCCGTCCTACATCAGCCGCAGCGTGGCGGGGTCATACGATAACGAGGGCGTCGCCATCTTTGCCCTCGTCAACGTGTTCTACACGTTCGTCAAGGTGGGGCGGGTCTGGGTGGACTCCTGTCCGTGGCTAAGGGGGAGTCTGTCAGTGGCTGGGAGCATTTCGCATGTTATTCTCGTTGAGGGATGAGACCAGGTTTTCGGTACGAATGTCAAAGTGGAGGGGTCGAGGGGATTGAGGGGGGGCGGACGAGCGGGTGTGCGCAGCGGTGGCTTGGGCCGAATGGCAAGTGCCGATTTGCAGAGCGCACGTACACATGCACCACTGACGGCCCCAGTTTAGGCGGCGGCCCGGCACGCCCAGCTGGTCGCTGGTTGCAAGGACGACCAGCTGTGCAAGCATGCGCCGCACCTGCCGCTCCTGCAAACACCCAGTGCCGCTGCAGCAGGGCATGGCGGCCCCTGAAATGGTGGCGCCTCCCATCTCAGTTCGTTGGTCTCAATCAGCCCCGGCAGCTCAACACACGCACACACACACACACACACACACACACACACACACACGCGCGCGCGCGCGCACACACACACAGAGGCGCGCGCATGCGTGTGCACGTTCGTTTGCAAGCGGATATGTTGCGATCCCCGTTGACCTCGCTCCATCCCAATGCCCACCCCTGCTTGCCGCCGCCCCATTCCCCCCCC